CGCCCACTTCCGGCGCGCGCCTGCTTGACGCCGCCGGCCACGCCCACCGCGCCCTGGCGGCCGGAAGCGCCGCGCGCCGAGCGCCGCGGCGGCGGGCGCAGGGCAGTGACGTCACGGCGGAGGAAGGCAGGGTGGGAAGGCCGCAGGGACTGTGGGGCTGACGGAACCGCTCAGTCTGGTTGTGGTTCCGGTTTCACAGACGTGCCGGAACTCGTCGAAGTGTAGGCTTTAAATAAGTGCATTTATTATACACAAGTTATACCTCCACACAGTTACTCCTGTTACTTTTAAAGAGAGGCATTCAAGGGGGACGATGTTGGGGTCTTCTGCCCTCCAAGTAGAACAAAACTAACCTAATAAGATGTTGGGTGGTAACCCGTGAGTCGCGTTTGGCGTAGTACCTGGGTCCCGGTGACCGCGCAGTAAGCGTGCGCTCGGCTTTGGTTCGTGGAGTGCCTCACACAGGGCGTGCGACGTGCGTGATAACATCACCATTGTCACAGCCTAGGAAAGAAGTGGGAAAGCCCTGAACTGATGCGTTGTGCGGGGAATGCGGAGCGCAAGGAAGGCCTTGCCTTTCCCTGAAACCTGCGTACAGGCACTGACAACCGTTTTTCAGGTTACCTCAGAAGAATACACGGTTCACGTGTCATATTGTGTGGAGAAACGGATGGGTTAAAGAAGTGAAAAATAATGCTTTCTGGGAGGAGAGTCACTCGTCCTGGGTCTGAATCCCATACTCGCTGTGTGATCCCGGGCAGTTGAGTTCATGTTTCCTCACTTGTTAAATGTGAATAAATGTACCTATCTCCTGGGGTGTTATAAGAATTACATGTGATAACGCTGATGGCAAAGACCTTCACCTGCACAGGAATCAGGTGGACCGGGTGGGAGGAGCTGTCACTACCTAGGTCCTCAGGAGAGCCCCACGGGGAAAACTATGTTGACGGTCGGCCCTGTGGCTGTAACAGCCGCTCCCCTACCTTCCTCTTCCTCTCTGTGAAAGGGACTTCCTGCTTTTTTTCTTCCTCCATGTGGCTCGCCGTGGGTACCGGTACTGGATTGTAATCGTTTCTTTTTCTCCCTAGTAAATCCTTTTTGGTGATGGAATGCCCAGTCAGTTTTGTTTTATAGTTGATAAATGAGATAAAGCATATCCAGCACATAACCTGACACAGAGGGAGCTTTCCCTAAGTATTAATCACCCCTTCCCGTTTCATAAAAAGACCGAGTAAGATCAGTTTTGTAGTTCATAAGCCTGATGATAGGGTGTTCACGCTATTGTGTAAGCGGTACCTCCCTCAAACCTTGTTACCACCTGGGCGCGTTACCCATCTGACATGAAAAGAAAGACCCAATCAAACAAAATTAGAATAATAGCTATCAGGAGACTCCAGGGGGAGACATGAAATTTGGGGCCTTGGACAGGTCAATCTTGGAGAGGATTTGGACATTTTGAATCCGTAGGGAGGGAATGCGATCAGGCATCATGTGGCCTTCATGAAAGATATCCATGCAGCTCCCTCTGTAATTTCCTGCTAACCAATCCACTTCCCTGCATGGGGACCCCAACATTCACTTCATGGAAGGGTCTCTCTACCCCTCTGTTCATTTCATATCAGTTCGGTTTTAATGGGTCAAGTTCTATTTTAGAGTTAGATTTATTGCGTGAAGATTAATACAGAAACCTTCTTTAAATTGTGGAGTGGGGTAGGCCCGTATGGGGTCCCGCCCTACCCCTCATCATCAATTATCCCAACCTGGAAGAGCCGCATTTTCCATTTCCAACGGGAAGATGTTTTTCTACCCCACTCACTCCGGCAGCAGGAAGGAGGATCTTCTTGCCCTGCAACCCCTCGGCCAATGAAAAGTCACTACACTTCAAACTCCCAGTTTCCTCCCATGGACTGTTTACAACAGCCCCTCCGAACTTCTTTTTCCTCCTTAAAAGAACATTCCTCTCATTCGTTCTTTGGACTTGCCGGTATTTACTTGCCATTAATGACCACGTGTCCCAAGTTGCAATTCTTTGTTGTTCCCAAATAAACCCATTTTATTGGAGAAATAGCCGGCTATTTTTTCAAGGTCAGCAATTGCTTTATTTCCTTTGAAATTTCACCCTTTGCTTTTAAGTTTAGGATCTTCTACCTTCTCATATATTCATTTGGTAGTCACATCTTTTGTCAGACTTTTTACTGTTTGATTTTTAATATATGTGATTATATCATAGATTTATATTTAACTCTAGTTTATCTGGAATGCACTGTGGTGTGTAGTATGAAGTGAAGAATCTAAAAAATTTCCTTCAAATGACCAATTGTCCCAGTACTATTTATTGGATAACCCTTCAAGCACAGATCACAACAGGTGGAGATGGGTGTAGGTTATTTTGGGCAGAGAGAACATTTGTTCCCAGATGGCTAGAAGTCTAGTTTAGCTGGAGCCCAGGATTTGTGAGGAGGGGGTGGTGAACAGAGTGAAGGCAGCTAGACCGGGGCTCATGGGAGAGGCCCTGACTTATAGGTGGGATTTGGACTTGAGTCAGGGGGAGCCCCCGGAGCCGTGTTAAACAGGTGTGTGCTGCCTCTACTTTGTGCTTCGGGGAGGTGACCCATGGCAGAGGCCAGCATGGGTAGGCTCTGTGGAAGCAATGATGTGCTGCAGACCCAAGCCAGCAGGGCCTGGACGTGGCTGGTGGAGAGGGAGGGAGCATATGGGGCTTTGGGGTAGAAGGGTCAAGATTTTAAACCCCAACATGGGGATGTGAGAGAGGACTAAAGCGTGATTTTAGAGAGAATGCTCTGCGTGACCGGCTCCCAAGGCTGTTCGGGGAGGACGAGTTCTTCCTGGAGCTGAGGGGCGCACTGAGCTGAGACCTCAGAGGCCCCAATGCTGCAAATGTTGGGCACCCCTCCCCCACAGAGTTCACAATAAACCACACCACAGGATGGGCTGCTCTGATGCATTTTTGGAATATCAACATTTTTCCCTGGAAGTTTATTACTTCTTAGTAGCCAGAGCACCTGCTGTGACTGCCTTTTGGCAAATCCAGCACAAATGAGCGTGGCTCTAAGTGTCAGTGTGTTAAATTTGAGGAGCTGGTTAGATGCCCAAGGGGCGATATCCAAGCAGCTGTGGCACCCAGACAAGCGGAGTCGAGAAGAGGGGCAGCAAAGGACATGCAGGCTGGGAGCTGCCAGCAGGCCGGGTGGACTTGACGTCAGCTCCCAGGAGGCTGCGTAGACAAGTCAAGGACAGGCAGACAAGATGGGGAGCAAGAAAGGCCGGGGGGTCAGATGTTACATTTCACAGTGAGCCTGCACGTATACTTCCCACACGTCCTGGAAACGTGCCGAGATTCACACAGCGATTCAGAGGTGCGGCAGAGACTGCAGCTCAAGTCTCCAGCACTAACTCTGTCTTTGACACTGTCACTTTGGGGGGAGGGAGCATGGAAGGCAGATGTCACAGTGCTAATGAGTGAATGCATAGGCAGGAGTATGGGTTGAGGGGCTGCTGGGGTGACAGAGGGTGGAGAAGGATGGTAACTGGCACAGGGAAGCGTAAGACTGCCCAGAGAGACCTGAGCCACCTGGGGCATGGTGCTGGGGAAGATGGTCATTACTTAAGGGCCTGGAATCGGCACACAGGGAAAGGGTCAGGTTCGGGGGGGACGAGAAGGCATCCTTCTTCCTTCTTCTGAGACCAGGGGGAGTGAAGGAGAGACACAGGAGCTCCTGGAGGAAATGAGAGAAGATGGAGCTGGTCCTGCCCAAAGGCTGTGTCCGCCCCAGGGCCCGAGAGGGAGGCCGCCGGGTCAGGGGAGGCCGCAGAGACTGTGAGAATCCAGCCAAGGCCGGGGGCAGAAGCACCTGCTTCTTCCAACCACTTGGGCCGCAGGAGCAGATGGGAGCAGCCTTGCCAGGGCTGGGGAGGCAGTGAGGGAGCGAGGGACTGGGGACAGTGGCCTCAGACGGCCAGCCCCTTCTCCTGGCTCCAGGCCAGGAGGGGGAGGAAGGGTTCGGACATTGCAGGGCATGCCTTCTTCTCCTGGTAATCTTAAAATTCACACTCACAGGATGGTTCAAGAATAGTGCTTCTTTATCCAGACCCCAAATGCTAACATTTTACCACACCTGCTGCATTATCTCTCTTTCTCTATTTTTCCTTCCATTGGAGAGTAAGGTGCAGACATGATGGCCCTTTACCCTTCAGCACCTCTTTCCTAAAACAAGGCCTTTCTCTTGCCTAACCAGAGCCCAGTGATTAAAATCAAGCAATTAACACAGATCCAATACTATTCTCTAAGTGACAGACTTGATTCAGATTTTGCGAAGTGTCCGAACTACGTTCTTTGTAGTGAAAGAGCCTGTTGCCTTCAGCGGGCCACATCCTTTGTCTCTCTGACTTGAAGCCATTCACCCCTCGGTCCGTCTGTCTTTCCAGTGTTTTCCGAAGTTGACACGGCCGGGCTGTGAAGGTCGGCTACAGTGTAACTGTCCCCCACTTTGAGTTTGGAGGCACTTCTTGACCTCAGTCTGAAACCCTCATGCCCTGGAGAGCCTGGGGGTGGTGTGTGTGTGTGTGTGTGTGTGTGGGTGGTGTGTGTGTGTGTGTGTGTGTGTGTGTG